AGAGCTCGCTTGATCACACTAGGGCTGTTTGTTCGTTTGTTTCGTTCGCTTTACTTCACACTGCACACGCTCGCAAAGTTGCTGGTCTTGATGGGTCTTGTCTACATCAGTTGTGACACCAGCGGAAAAAAAAAGGCGCTCGAACAAGTTGTGCTTAATTCGTTAAGTAGTTGGGGTGAGCATGATATTATATTTAACTACGGCAAGAATCGTTCCTACGCGGTTAAATGATTACACTTTACCTTGGGATCTTCGACGACAAAGTCAGGAACTAAACTTCGGTGTATGTTCAACCAGAAAGGAACCTTAGAAGGGTCCTAAATCAAATCACAGTACCTTATTAATCGACGTTACTGCTAAAAATTTTCACAACTGCCAATATCAAAACAAACAAACGAACACAAAAACTAATTCAAAAACGAGAACAAAAAAAAAAACTGAACGTACTTTTACAAGTAATAAAAAGGGAAGTGAGAAAACATGTGTTTTAAGAATTTCAGTGGAGTCCATCTGTTTTGATACACTTTATGTATATGCATTACTGAGATAACAGTTGTTCCACCGTACAAACCTTGCTGATTTTCTTCAGTTTAAGCTCTCTATTAAGCCGCTCTATGGTTTTATCGTCATGACCATTGCCACACTTCGCCACAGTGCACCATTGCTTTGTGGCTGGATCCCAGACTCCCATTAGAAAAATCGACATCAATCCACCTTTGTTCCCTGTTCCATAGTAGGCCCCAAGTACCACCAGGTCAGCAGTATCTGCCATGGCACCTTCCTCCAGATAATCCTTCTTCATCTTAGAAACAGGACAAAATAAACATCAGACTACGAAAAGGGTATGACCTCGAGCCAAACATTTTCCCGTCAGGCCCTCTCTCTCTCAGTCTATAGATGGGGAGTTTAAGAAAACCCTAACAGCCAATGCAACAGGAACGTGAATGCCTGTGCACGTGCATTATAATTTTACGCTGCGTTCTTTATTCAGTTTAGAAAAAGTTTTGACAGTGAGAAACAAACTAAATGACGTTAGAGTATCGCGAGATTTGTCCTAGGTAAAATACAAGTTAACTTTTAAATCGTTGTTGTCCACGGCGTCGGCGTCGTCGTCGTCATTTCTTAAACTCCCTTGTACACATTCTGCAGAATGAATGTTACAATTTCTCCTTGGCGAGATGAAATATTAAGTCAGGGTCTTTTGGCTTCATTTACCTTGAGCCAATGCCTTTTTCCTGGTTCATAAATGCCCTGAAAACAGAAAGACAAACACACTGTTAAGTGTGAGAAGATCACATTTGAGATCTTTCTCAAATTTCGACTGCGATCAATTTAACTACGGCGTTATTTTGAGCGGAACGTACGAAAAGTGGGACTGCAATTATAACATTTCCTGGGAAAAAGATGCATGTTTTATACATAATGAGAAGCAATGCGAACTTGGTAATGTAAAGCTTTTACAATCCTCTGATACAGTTTTTCAAGGAAATAACTTGAAAATTATTTCCTCGCAAACCGCCGAGGCCTGAAAACAAGTTGTGACCATTGTCGGGCATCTGTTTTTATTACGTCCGTAATAACCTTTTCCCCCATAATAGCTTTAATCAAACTTTAAGGCTAACCAGTTGTGTAATTTTAAACTTTTGTATGATGTACGTTCAAGATTTTGTTGAGTTTGAAATATAGGTAAGGTTGCGATACCGAGTCAGGCTTTGCTACCAGGGGCGTATGAGAAAGTCAATTTTCATTTTTATCGAAGATCGCGCCTGTAGGAGCAGCTATCTGTATAAAATAAACAGGCGACTATATTTCTCACATATCGTGCAATTCTTTGTCACCTAATTTTATGTTCAATTTTCCATGGTTCGCACATAGGCAACATTAATTTTATCTTAACGCGTAATTTTGCTCGGTATAAAAATTATTACTGTAGCACAGAGCGGTAATTTTGACGTGCGCCATATCGGCTTCAAGCACTGTGATAAACTGTCACAAACTGCACAAATCAAACTTCATAATTTTAATAACCAATAACATTGCCGTCTTACATTGACATCCTTCAGCACCAGTCCCTCGAGGCCTTCTTTGATGGCTCGCGTCATCAACTTTGAGAGCTCTTTTTCTGTCTAGAAGAGGGTGACAATGCATTTCAAGTCTCAAATGGAAAGTTACAATGAGCATCAGCAGAAAAGGCTCATCTTATAATTGAAGAAAAAAAGAATTCATATTGCTAAAAATGGAACGAGTCAGCTGAATATTTTAGACCTGCTTCTTTATCTGGAAGATAACTATGATATTCGAAAGTGTACAAAGATCTACATGTACGTGGACAAGTACTGTAAATAATTTGCAATAAACCTACCTTTAGGAAATTCATTTCCGATAACATTATTTTGTTTGGGATGACTGTAACATTTTGTTCCAAGACTTTTCGTCTTTCAGTCATGCTCCTAGAAAAACATGAGTGAGTCAGGGAACTGTAATATTAGCAGAACAAAACAAAACAAAACAAAAACACAAACAAACAAACAAAAAAACATAAAAACGAAGAAAAGGAGGCAAAAAACTGTGAAATGAGCATCACGTACATGTTCTTTACCTTGTGAAAGGTACATTGTAGTTAGCACTTGCTTCCATTAAGTGAGTAAAGAACTTACTTTTTCATCATGTTTTCATCATTAAACTGGAGGCAATCAAAGATAAACAAACAAACACTGGCATCTTTGAAAGCCGATTTCTGCAAATAAAAATACAAGAGAGAAAAGGCACTTTTAACAATCTCTCTCAACAGAATTTTCAAAATAAACAGTTAGGCATGAAAGTAATCCTTGCAGTAGTAAACCCTACTTATGTAGTACTGCATGGGTATAAGGCCTGAAAAAAAGTCAGGCCTGTATGGAATTTGAACCCATTACCTCTGCGATACCAGTGCAGTGCTCTACCAACTGAGCTAACAAGCCAACTGGGTGTTGGTCATTAAGTTGGTTTGCATTAAACCCCTCGAAGTCATATAAATCAATGAATTTTGAATATATGAAAATACAATTATATGTGTACTGCCGTTTCATGAAATGTATGAAAGTGATCCTTGCACTATAAACCCTACTTACTAGTAGTGGAAATAAAGCCTGAAATGATACTGTACCGTATATTAATAAACGTGGATTATAATAAACACAAAGACTTAGTTTGCAATTACCTTATGAATGCCTAGAGTCCCAAATGGGAGAGGTTTGCTTGTTTTATTGTCAACAAGTAACACCTTAACAGAGAAAACAATGGAAAAAATAATCAGAGAATCCAATATCGACATAAAAAAACACTTCTTAAATTTAAAGGAAAAATTGATACAAAATGCAAGAGTAAAGTACCTCACTATCCAATATGAGATTATTGCCATGAGGACAGGCTTTTGGAAGATGATCTTTTATGGGTGCTACCTGGTGTGATTACAGGGAAAAAAAAAAAAGGAATCAAATACTTTCAAGCAATAGTACTGGATGCTTCCCTATACATACGTAACAAAAGCAAAACGTAGTTGTACAACAGGACAGTGAAGCTCCAATAAGCTTACCTTGTGTCCAAGGACAGGTTTGAGGCTGCGGCTGAAAAATTGAAACTCATTACCGCTCTTGTGAACCTAGGACATCAAATGCAAGTATAAATGAATTGTCAGTGTATGGACTGTAAAACCATTCCAGATTACTGGAGTACTTTTAACTCTTAACTTGATATTTTTCTCTGTTCTTGCAACCTTTTTGACTGAAAATGTATCAAGACTGTGAAGAGAGATTCCCTCTCTGACACTCCTTGGTTTCCAAGGGTTGAATACAAAGTATATTACCTGGACTCTTTCTCCATCGTATTTAATCTCTGCATACATTCCATTGGGACATTTCTTCAATGCCTGTGAAAAACTCTTACAAGCTTCTGCCTATAAAAAATAAAAATTATTTTCTGAAGAAATGAGACCAACTTGGCCTGGGAGCAGTCCCTTAATGATGAGTGTTTCTCCCTTGAAGGGAGCATTTGAGACCAGTAAGGGAGGGGTTTGCTGGGGGTATAGCTAAGTGGCAGATCCAGGGGGAGGTTCCAGGGGATCCAGACCCCCCCCCCATCAAACCTGACGCTTACAACTTTGAGACAGGATTGTACATCACTTTTAACTGGCTGATTTTTTTAATGAATCCAAATAAACAGTAAGCGGCCAAGGAATTATAACGTGAAACAGCGACTGGTGGGAGGGGGTGTGGGGGAGAAGTAATTTGCCTCAAAGAGTCCAACAGTCCTTTCTGAACCAAAGTTTGGACCTCCCCAATAAAAAATTCCTGGATCCGCCCCTGGAGCTATACCTTTGCAGAGCTCTAATTAGCTTGCACTGCTCAAGGCGTGGTACTTTAGGGTGCAAAGAAGTGCTTGTACTGATAATGAAGGGCTGCTGACAGGCAAGGGGTAACTTCAACTCAGATACACCTGCTGTGAATACCCACTGTATCAACCATGAATAAAGCAAAGGAAAAAATTCAAAATAACATTTATTTGACAAATACAGTGTAAATAGATTGTAACTTCATGCATGTCAACAAAGTTCATACCAGCATAGGTTTGACAGGTGTCATCAAGGAAGCTTTGATGCTCAGCTTTTTACTCATTCCAGGCAAAACACTTGCATTTGTTTCCTTTCTCTGCAGGCATCGCTGTACAACATCTGCGAGGTTGTTTGATGCCTGAAATGCCTCATACGCATTTGGATCAAGTGCATCTAAACTAGGTACAAAGAACAAATCAAGTTCCACATCACAAGCACAAAATTTTCCACATGACATCAGCAAAAAAAAAAAACACATCTTTGACTCTTTATCTCCCAGATTTAATTACCATGTGACTTCTCCCTAAAATATCCATACATGATCAACCAAACAGGTATTGAGAATACTACAACTTCTCAGATAGAGGTTTAAAGCTTGATCTAACGCAAAATTCTCACAATTAATTTACAAGCAACTAGAGCGAAGAATTAACAGTCAGATTTTGAGATTTAAAAGGCTAAAAGTGCCGCAGTACAGTGAACAATCTACAAATCTCTCTCACCTCTTGGTGACTGAGAACAAAAACTAATGTACCACATCTAACATTCCAAAACATGAACATCTTGAGGGGTATAGAAATTAGCTGAGTTTACACATTGCAAATTATATTATATAATTATTGGTAAGTTTGAGTAAATGATGCCACTTCCACTGTTTATCCAGCATTCCCAATGCAATGCAACTAAAATGTGACAGAGTAGCGGAGTTTAACTAGCTTTGCCCCCTTGGTGTGTTCTGGCATGTATTTTCTCACTAAGGTATCATTAGGCCCATAAGAATGAGGGAAATGATCAGAAACTTTTACATCTCTTGAATTTTAACTAAGCAAGGAGAATAGTACATACTGATGGTGGGGCATGAAGGATTCACTGACAAAAAATTCATGCTACCAAAAAAAAGGTTAATTTTTAAATCAAGATTTCATAATTCCCTTAGTGCATTTTAACCAAATGCACCCATCAGAATCAAGACATAATACTGAAAGAAGATTTTCTCTTTGTGGTACATGAAACACTACAAGCCACAAATGCCTTTCTCTTAGATTAATAACGCTTGCATGCTCAATACGACTAGCCTCAGCGGTGTCCTTTGAGACACACACAGTTTACATGTAGCTAAACTTTACCTGTGTTATCTTAAAGGTAACACACCTCTAATTCTCGCACATTAAATACACCAAGCCTTACAGGTGTGCACGTTCAAGATACACTCAGATTAGCACTATGATTTGTGCTATCTTAATGGTAACACAACACTAATGCTTGCATATTAAATACCCCAAGCCTCATTCCTGTGCATCTTCAAAATCCACACAGGTTTACATGCAGCAAAACATGATTTGTGTTATCTTTTTGCTACGACAACACTGAATGCTTCTATATTATTGATGTACACCTTCAAGACACACAGTTTAGCCACACCATAGTAGACAGGTCACAATAATTGGTGCCCCATGGACAACAGAGTGCAAAGGGACCTTACAATCGTCACTGTCATTAGTGCACACCTTCAAGACACACAGTTTGGCAACACATAATTTGTGTTATCTTAATGGTAACACACCATTAATACTAGCATATTAAATACGCCAAGCATCGATAAACACCTTCAAGACACACACAGTTTGGCAATACATGATTTGCGCTATCTTAATGGTAACACACCATTAATACTGGCATATTAAATATGCCAAGCATCAGTTTGCTCCTTCAAGACACACAGTTCACCAAATTGAATACAAATGCAGAAAGATTGCAATAATCAGTTCCTTTTGGATGACAAAGTGCACATGAACCTTGAAATCACCACCCTTTGGGGATATCTTGCCCTGTTGTAAGGGTCTCCTCGTTTATGTTTGTGCAGAACATTTACATGTGCAGTGCATGCTCCAACAATTTATGAGGCCCTGCCCACACTGGCCAAATTTGACACTGAAAACATCAACTTAGTCATGCCTACTGTTTGCATTAATTGCAGCTGATGACAGAGGTTTTAGAAAAGTTTTATTAATAATGAACCTTGCTCTACTTTTGGTACTTTTTAGGTAGGATATCATGACCCAAGAATGTTATCAGTGGTGCAGTCGAAATCAGTCCTTTAACTTTTTAAGAGTGATTTAAACCTAATTTCTACTTACAGTGTCCACAGCTAAATCACACATTAAGGTGAAAGGGATAAAAGACCTGATTGCCAACAAAAGAACTTCTTGATTGCCAATTGAAACAAAATCCCCTAGTAATTACCACTGGAAATGTATGGAGAACAATATCGAAAATATGTGTACCGATGTTTCATTGTAAAGAGTTTATTATCCCTGAACATTATCAGTCGTGTACTGTTACAGTAGCATCTTAAGATTAAAGGGAAAGTTGTATTAAAGATTTACAAGAAGTTGTTTGTATTGAAAAACATGATTCTGGAAAACATGTTTACAATGTAATTCTTACACATGTTTTGCTCCTGTGTTCATTCGCAGGTCATGCTTGATCTGACGAATGATGAACTTCAAGTCATTAGCAGAGCATCTAAAATAAAATAAAATAAAAATATTAACATTCAAATGAAAAAACAAGTTGCGCACGTGCTACTAATGATTCAGTTTGGGGGAATTTTTTGGCAACTCTAAATTTTAAGCAAAACATTAAAAATCAAGGTAGCACTGTACCTCCTGGTCATTTTGGTGAGTTCCCTCTGCTGGTCCTCTTCCTTCGTCAAAGTTTTCAGTTTGTCAAGAAATGCATCAACCTTATATCAAAAGAATGAGTTCATTTGTGATGTCCAATTTAATTCTACTAAAGAGATTTAACCAAAAGGAACCTACATGTGTTATCTTGATATGTCACATACCTCCTGTAAGGAAATCAAACTCTTCTTTAGAGGTTTTAGCAATGAGCCACTCTCAAAAAATGTGCTCACAGTTTCTGATACATCACCCTACAGAAATTAAGTTGAATTTAACAAATCAAGTCTACTCTCCTAAAGAAAAATGACATCTTTGTATTATTTTGAAATAGCTTTTAGTCTACAAAACAACTTTCCCATCACAGGACATAAAACTACCCCAGATTCTAGGTACAGCAGAACCAAAAACAATCCAGGAATGTTATTCTAAATATTATTTGAAGAAAAAAAGAAAGTTAGTGAAGTCAGGTTGGTTACTAAAAAGTTTTCTGTACCTGTTCTAAGTCCGTTATCATGTCATCTTGGCTACATCCAAAAATCTACAAAAAGAAAAGGTTGTAAATAGAGGGCATCATAACCATTATTTATTACATTGCAGTCAAAATTACTTTACATCTATCAGAAATCTTGAGACATAATATAGTTTACACAATCATGCACATGTAGAGAATGTATTATTTTGGTCTTGTACTTATAGTCGTTATATAAGAAACAGAATTATGCAACTTTTTCCAGAAAGGTTGTCAGAAAAAAGGACAAAAAAGCATGTGACAATCTTGAAAAGTAATCTGGGCATCTTGTAATCAAAGAATGAGTTTTAATAAGTCAAATAAACAAATAAATTCACCAAATCCACTCTGCCTTGTCCATACCACGACATCCTCTCAGATTTCCCTGAAAACCTAAGGTCAAGGAAATGTGATCTGAAACTAGCGCATGATACCTTTTGGGGCTATTACATGTACAGGCACTTGTACGCCTTATTTTTCCAACAACCTTCCTCGAAACAGCTAGCGCAGTAAACATAACTGTTCGTGACCTGTAATACACATATAATCACAGCTACCTGACTGTACAATTTAATGAGTTGTTTGCTTTGCAAGTTGTACACTCTCTTGTTGACTGCAGGTAGTAGCATTTTCACCCATAGCATCAAGTCTCCTACAAATCCACCTGCAGCAAAGCAGTAAACAACAGTTTAGTACAAGTAGCTGTTACATTGATATAATTGATTCTGATGTACCTCCAGAGCTCCCCTTTTCAAAGAAGTCAGACAAGATCTTGCTCTTGTTATTGTAACTTGGTTCTTCAGCAAGCTTTATGCAGATTCTCCTGAATTCTCGGAAACTGTTGTCTTTGCTGTCATCAGCATCTCCCTTGAGAGGGGATGAGCTGTGACTCCCATTGCCATTGGTTGTAGACTTTTTACCATCTGCTGAAGTAATCTTTGATGGAGTGGAGGGTTTCGGTTTTCCAAATCCAAGAGTAGATTGCAGAGTTTTCTTTTTAGGTGCAGAACTTTTGACAGCTAGATCTAAGGAAAAAATGTGATCCTGTTAAGAAGAATTATTTCAAATATTACATGTGCAGACATATGCTCGCATAAGTGCCCGGCATTAACCCTTTACTCCCTAACATCAGTATGCACATTCTCCATACTGTTCTCTGTACATTTCATAAGGTGCTGACAAGGAGAATTTGTTTAACAATCAAGAGCTAAATTCTTTAGTTGGTGATCATTTCCTTTCCGACTCATGACCTCAAAATTTAGTTTGATGATGCACCATAAGGAGGAATTATAAGCCTTTTGTTCTGAAGGGTTAGGTTAATTGAGGTGGCACAAAAAATGAAAGTGTCAGCACAGCACTTGCAATCAAAGCTATTATATTTGGATCCAGGTTGAAATGAGGTCAAAACCCATTGGACAATAACACAAACCTTTGATGAGGCTTAAAATTTTCGACTGATCGTCGTCTTTAAGGTTCTCAAATCCGCCCAAATCATCTGTACTTTCAATTTTCTTCGTGGTGGCTCTAGCACGCGACAAAGTATCGAAAATGCAAGAAACATGGTACCATTGTTTCATCATCCCGCCGTCCTCGCTGAATGGATTCGACACCAACTTTCCAATTCGAGTCACACTCTTCTCTATCTGCTGTTTGCAAGTTTTGCATTTAGCTCTTCCCTGCGCAGCATACTCCACCAAAAACGGCTTGCCTTCCGCGCCGTCCGCCATGATGTTCAAAGCTAGGACAATTCGTCGACAACGAAAAATTGAGTTTTCCTTAACAAGCTGTACGCTACGTCTTGAAATCCCAAACATTTAAAATGAGTGGTAAAGGCATACTCATGACTTATTTATCGTTGATAAAGTTTGCTGACTTGCAAAGCGAGAGGGCAGGCTCAATCTTGCCACTTCCCTCTTTATGTCTCGCCCACCTCTTCTATTCGTATTCTCTGTTATATGAGAAAAACATTACTACTTGTAATCACCGCTGAACGTCAATCTGCGCCTTCGCGACTCAAAATGGACGATCTGTTTGGCGATCTTCCTCCACCCTGTAATAACTAGAAAACTCTTCTGTTTGTGTTAATTTTTTTTTTTTTTTTTTGATTTGTGAAATAGAGTGTGGTATGTTTTATATTATTTCAGCAGGTGGAAATAACGTGTCGGGTTCAGTCGGAAATTTGTACGAGGACCTTCCTTCATCGGAGAGAAGTGAAGAAAAGAATTCGAAAAGGAAACTAGAAGCTACTGGAGAAGATCCTTCCACCCCAGCAAAAAGACCACTAAAACGTGAGAGTTTTGTGCAATTTTAAAAAAATTTTCCTTACCTTCACTACCTCTTCCGCTGGTCAGGTTAAGGACAACAAAACTGAGACGGTGTTACTTGTAGTGTGGAACACATGGTTTTCACACAATCCTCTCGTGTCCTTCATTTTTTTTCGCCGATTATAAAAAGGACAAAATGACTCGATTTCCCACCATGAAATTATGCACTCCCCCTCCATTTGTATTTAATACTTTGATACAGGTCCTAAAACCATTTGACGTGGCTTTAATGCCACAGGCAGTTACCACCAATAGCAGACACACTTCTTTGTGATGCAACCTGTTGTGATATGCCTCTTTATTACATTGCTCGCAGTGCCCGTGGGCAAGATGAAGCAAATCCTGGGTTCTGATTGGCTGCCTGAGCAGGCAAGATGGGATCATCTTACCTGCTCGAGATTACCCACATTGATCCCAAGCATGAAATTAGAATCAGAACCAAGTCTGTAATTCTTGGACAGTATTTATGGACCTCAACTTCATCCCGGTCCATAAAAATGCGAAAAAAAAAAAAAAACTCAGGCAATATCCAGTCATCTCGACCTCACACTTGGTTAATAATGCATATGCATTTTAAATTAGCACTCTTAACTATAGTTATTCCCTAGATGGAACATTGTTTGTTTGCACTATAATTATATGCAGGTTGCTATTGAAACAGAATTATTCTTAGTGTGTGGGAGTGCTGAAAGTTAGACTATTGAGTTGCTGAGTAAACTCCGCTCTTAAAAAGAAAGCTTGTCTTATTCAAACACCCCTTCATGCTTGAGGCAAGAAAAGCTCCACAGGAGGAAACACAATCACTGGAGGCAACAGACTAACAAGCTTCATCTTTCCATTTTAGAATCTAAATACAAACTAAGGGGCTTTGCTGCGGAAAGGAAAGGAGAAAGAAATGACATGCAAGATGCTCATGTTATTAATGATGATTTCATGGAAGAGTTTGGTACAGAGAAACCTCTTGGAATGTGAGTCTTAATGAGCAGGTTTTTCTTTCGAAATAATTCTTAGCAGAAGAATGTTGTTAAACAACAGGACAGCTCTCTCCTCGCCATCAAAATGGGATTATAGAATTCTGCTCAGTGTTTAGATAATCCATGATGATGCCAGGCAAGTAGCAAGTGAGCAGGCCTTCGATCCTCCATTGGCAGTAAGAATGTAGACAAGAGGGTGGGAGGTCTGGCACTAATAATTATTGGTACTGACCACACAGGTGAATATTGCTTTTTGTGCACACTGATTGGCTAGTTCAGAGGTGAATACCAAGTACTACTCACCTCAGAGCAGCTGATGTGCAATTTTTTCCCTTTAGCTGCTCCAAAAATTGGTTTAATGAAAAAAGTAAAACTATTTTTTTGGTATCTGTGTAATAACTGCTAGAAAGATTAGGCTAGCAAAGGGTGAAATAAGCTCAAGTTAATGTTTCTTTACTGTTTGTCTTGTACATGTAGTTCCAATATGTGTTACTATGGAGTGTTTGATGGACATGCAGGCCCTAAAGCAGCTCAGTTTGCAGCAGAACACTTGCACAAGAACATTGTACTCAAGTTTCCAAAAGGTTGATGGTAAATTGATGACAAACTTAGTTTCCCTATCGACTCACTGTTAGTAATTTTTAACTAAACGCAAGTTTCATTTTGATTTACTCCTCGACACTTTTTTCTGTGTACAGGAGAAGCAGCTAACAAGGACAGAGAGATAAAAAGATGTTTAACAGATGCTTACAAAAAGACTGATGATGAGTTTCTACTGGAAGCATCAAAGGCGTAAGTTTGTTGAAATTCAGTTAATTTCTTTGTTAAAGTCAGCACTTGAACCAACTGGTAACACTGCTGGAGCTTCTTCAAGCTTCTTGTAATGTATGTAAATCCTCTTGTTCTTTATTATCCTCGATCGGCCCATTCAGCGCTCCTCAAGCGGAATACTCAACCTATACTTACTCGACTCAAAACAACCGTGCCACCGCAACAGTTAAGCTCGAAAAAACTTTAAATCAACTCCATAAAAGGTCGAGAAACGATAGGCAAAGCAAAGCTTAAAATTTCGTGAATGACTGCGAAAACTAAAGACCACGTGACCAAACAAAACAATGAAATACATTAAAATAATTACTATTGGCGGGAAAAGACACGACACTTCCAGAGCATGAAGCATATAGGGGTATTGCTACTCCAACTCCTATTTCATTATCCCCCAGCTTTTCATCCGATTTCCATGATGTCCAGCTCACCAGTACCCATTTCCATGAAACTATGCTCCTGGGCCTTGTTGTTTGAAGGCCAATCAGCTCAAACCCAGAGTCGAATTTTAATCCTGAGGTTTCTTTATTTCTCCATTCAAACGCCTCTTTGGGGATAATTTCCCTTATTGTTTTTAGAGCATCCAATTTTCAAGTTGTAGACAAAAATAGGAAATGTCAATTTTCTTTCAAAGCTTCCAGCAATATTCCTTAGCGCTAGTTCATGGCAGGTTTCCCCCAGTATTTTGTCACACTTAGACAGTTCATTGGTATCCATTTATACTTCTCGGTGGAGTGAGGCAGTGTGGTAATGCCAAAGTTTTGTAGTGCTTTACGTATGATTAACAAGGTTCACTAAACGTTACATAGGTCACCAGTTTGGAAAGATGGATCAACTGCCGTCACAGCTCTTGTTATGGATGACGTTTTGTACGTGGCAAACCTTGGTGATAGTAGGGTACTGTGCAGATATGACTTACATTTACCATACGATCATTTTATATGTTCTCAGAAATTCTCGCTTGCGTTACTAAGAATTCCCGCACACGCTGGTTCGGTAATCTTCGACTGTATACTTGCACTTGATCCAGGCTTTATTGTCGACAATTCAACATTACACGTCCGGTTCTACGATCTATCTATCAGTTTATTCCATTCTAGCTTTAAGGTCACAAAAATCGCTACATTTGTTAGCTAAGGAAATCCACACCCAGATACGTCGTCCCGTACAGGCACTAATTTCTTATCAAACGTGGGTTTACTTGACAATCATGCTGTATGTTCCTACGTGCATAACGCCCTGGAAATATCTGATTAGATACATCACTGTTTTGATTATTCTATGCTGCAACGCTACCTGTCACATTCTACTTTAACGATAGCAAAATAACAATTTACGTGATAAACAATTAAACAATTAAAAATCTAATAAAACAAGGAAATCAGTTTGAGATAAAAATTAGTGATAATAATTTTGAACGACGTTTCGACCTTGCTGAGATCATTTTCAAGCTGATGAAAAGGAAAATTTTTACATATATATACTAAATTCAAGACGTGGGAATGATAAAGGCGATAAAATATGGAAATATGTAAACGCTAGGCGTAAAATAGAAGTGATAAAATTGCAAAGGAGACGATACGGATAAAGTAATATTAGAGTTGACGAAAGTAAACTATTATAAAAATAGCTTTGCGCGGATTGAGTCTGACTGTTTGTTCAAGCTTGGCTTAATTTCTTTTATAAAAAGCATCTCGTAAATTAGGCAGTCCAGTTTATTTTTGCATTTCTTCAGGATTTTGAAACTGTGATGCAAGTCACCTGGGGTATGCCCATGCCGCTCTTTAATGTGGTTCCCGATTGAAGACTGAAACGCTTTGTGTTCTTCATCACGTTGGTAGAGGTGCCGGCATGTGTAGCCGACATAGTCTGCATCGCACAGACCACACTTAAAATCATAATAACAGACACACAGCATCATGGAATCTATTTGTTAAATTTACCCCTTTTTCTCAAAAAGTGTTTAAGGCGACTATGATTAAAGAAGGCAATTCTTTAAAAAATCCCTGTCCGTATTCCTAAAGTAAATGGCTAATGACGGAGTATGATTTTCTGATCGTGACTTACAGGCACTTCTTTGTCGCTGTGGTGAAAATGGAGAGACATCAGTGGTTTCTCTCTCCAAAGATCATTCTCCATCTCAGGTAATGTCTATGTACTTATTTACTTTGTTTTTTTTGTCGAGCCGGACAGGAAAATATTTGGCTCGAGGTTATGACGTACGGTCTGAGCGCAGTCCAAACTTCACAGCTGAGAGAAAACTAGGTTATGACGTACAGTCTGAGCGCAGTCCAAACTTCACAGCTGAGAGAAAACTAGGTTATGACGTACAGTCTGAGCGCAGTCCAAACTTCACAGCTGAGAGAAAACTAGGTTATGACGTACAGTCTGAGCGCAGTCCAAACTTCACAGCTGAGAGAAAACTATTTTCTCATCCGGCCCAACCAAACTTAGTCAATAAGCATTTTTATCACGTGACTTCTTCGAAGGTTTTGTTTCAACCTAAATAGGATGCTATAGACGGGTGCGCGCGGGACAACCACAAAAAGGATTCTACAATCAAAACTTTCTTTTTTTTTTTTTTTTTTTTTTTTTCGAGTTAGAACAAGAAACTCACAATTTATCGAAACAGGCAACTTTTTTCCCCTTTTTCTTTATTCCTTTAAGTTTTTGCAATAAAGCTGTGCGAGTGTAGGAACGGAGAGCTTTTTCTGGACCAGCGCACGTCAGCCCCTTCTGCTTACGCTTGGGGTTACGCGCGCGGGGCCTCACGGACCATATGAAGCTGGTGATTCACATTTGTGTTCTTGTGCGGTCATATCTGTGTTGGATATATGGAACAGGTTGAAAGAAAGCACTTGCTTGGATAAACGGGGTTTTACAGCTGTGACATATGGCCAAATGTTCCTCAGCAAGAATGCTAGGCAACGGGAGCAATCCGACCCTCCTTTATCTATGCTGTGAAAGATAACAAATAACTAACTTTCATTTATAAAACTTAAGTTGTTCGTCGCCTGAATGCGTTTTTGTTATTAATTTGTAGTACGAGGAAAGGATGCGAATTCAAAAGGCCGGAGGAACTGTCAGGTAGAAACCAAAGTTGGAGTCATTAATAAGAATAATATCCAATTTTTTTAAGGGCTACTCTCACCTAGACGATCTGATAACAGGATCGTCAATATCTTATTTGTCAAATTGAGAAAAAGACGACTCAACATCGAAAAGAAACCTTATGAACCTACTTTGTCCTTATCAGACTTTGTTATGATATTTTTTAGAGAAGGTCGAGTTCTTGGCGTCTTAGAAGTGTCGCGTTCGATCGGAGATGGTAGATTCAAGAGATGTGGTGTCAGCTGTATCCCGGATGTCATGAGGTGCACTCTGACAGATAATGACAGGTATGTTTTCGGTCTGAGCAGGGCCTAGGGACGACGGCCGAATTTCAGAGTGATGTTCGCTATAATTAAAAAAAAAAAACCTTCGAGAAAGTTGTTAGCTTACAGTTATTTCTCTGTAAAATCTCAAATCGACTAAAGCAGATTTTGTGTTCGTAGGATTTTAATCATTGCATTGTTCCCCTTAGGTTTTTGCTTCTGGCTTGCGATGGTCTTTGGAAGGGATTTTCCGTAGATTCTGCGTTAAAGTTTATCAACGACATTTTGGAGGTAAGTTTTACTGCAAACGAAGTCCTCAAGTTGGTTTATACCCTGATCACGCAATATTGAACGCTACAGTGGTTATTAGATTCTTGGCTTTTCCGAAGCGACTTTTATTTCAAAATATTTCCTTAAATCACGGACAGAACTGACCTTTAATCATTCCTCAAGTACTTTGTAAAACAGAAACATGTGGAAAGTTCTAGTACCCCGCTGGTTTACATACATAGTCGTGACTGCTTTGCTAGTGCTTTTAACAACAAGCTTTGTACAGAGTACCGCCAAATTGGACCGCATATGCCTTTATTTTTTCACTCGTAATCTTAAATCAAATGCCGCATTCCTCTGATATAGTGCAAAGTTTACCCAAGGGCGGCGCTAATTGGAACGTAGTTAAGGATTTCATTGGTTCTACTTTGTAAAACTCAGTTATTGGTTTAGAAAACTGGCGCTAACTTTCCAGCCAGTGAGATGCAAAACTGAAACCAGTGGTGACTTCACACTCCTTTTCCCGCGCTTAAAGCCAATGACGTGTGGCTTTCTGTGATATAGCAATTTGTTCTGATTGGACTTCACTATAATTTTGAGTTTCGTTGGCAATGCTACATTAAATTGAAAGGTTCCCTCGCTAAAATGGTCCCCTTGCTTCCCTTTTTCACTTCACAGAAAGAAAATTTCGAAGAAACCGAAACGATCATTAACAATACAGGTGTGTGGTTTATCTGTTGTACACTATACGATTGCCTGTTTGCTCAGTTGGTATCGAAAACAGTGCCCAGCTCATTCACAGTGTCTCCCAGGGGTGGGAGGAAGAGAGATCCTGGGTACCAGGAATGTACAGTGAAAGTTATAAAACCCCACCCTTAAACTTTTGCAGGTCTGGAAGATGTACAACTCGACCCAGTCTCTGCACGCTTCCAGGAGGCGTGTCACAAAATCGCCAGCGAGGCTATCAGGAATGGAAGCTCTGATAACGTGACTGTGATGCTGGTATCAGTTACAAAGCAGTAAAGAGTTCTGCCACCCACCTCCTCACCCCGTCCATCGTTGGATCTTCATTTCGCCAATAAGAGTAACCGTTTCAAGATAAACACTATTAATCGCTTGCAGTGAAAGAACGAAATTGTCACTAATTGCGTTGTATGTGTTGTGTCACAAGGCAGAGGTCCATTTGATCGTAAACGTAGCTTGTGGAGATCTTCCAAGAGAGAGCCATGATCAAAGCAAACTGTCAAACTGGCTGAAGTGAAGAGGGTCATAAATTGCACATTCTGGACCAACGAGTTACTTTATTTTCCAACTCGCACATTTACACTTTACATCTGTAAGCTACACGTAGTATGTCTGTAAATAGATAGTTCAAAATTGAAAACAAATTCCATTATATTCTGCCCGTAGTTTCGTTCGCCTGACGTCATGTTACCTGGCAACCTTTATGAACGCTTGAAACCGCAGGTTCATCTAAATAGGGCGCTCCCATAGCAAACTGGATGTGAGAATAAGAGAACGTATGACTAACTCCAATCCTTTTCTTCCCTCGTTCTACGTCGTCGCTTTTCAATCTCATTTCATGGCCAGTCTTCTAAACCTATTGATGGCAGCAGCGATCTCGTGAAGTCTGGGGCGAGAGTAGCTCCCAAGAGGAAGTCTGGGACTGAGTACGTCTAGACCTTTGGTGTTGAAGTCTTGCTCCACCCTTAAAAAGAAAGATTCAATTATAAACAATTTTAACAGCTGTAAAAGTTAGGAACGAAAAGGAGAGAGGTTTATATTTGTAACAAATGTTTTTCATATAAATTGCGGTGTTTTACGAGAATTTCCTGCCCTAAGAAAAAGCCATAACTGCACGCGTGTAAAATTATATTTTTTTACGTGTGTTTAATATCGCCAATCAGCGGCTGACACGTCATTAGCCTTTTTTCCCCACTCAGTAAGATAGATGGCAAAGCGTTCACCATTCTCATTTGTTAATAAGGTGACCTCTCCGTAAAGGCCCGTGGTGTTTAACTAATAAAACAAAATAATACGTAGTTGCTTGCAGATAAGGAATTTCTCTTCTCGTGTTCAACACGGTATTTCCGAGTGACGGCGCGGAGAACGAGTAAGAAATCGATTTGACCACGATAAGAGAATTTCTATAACTACGCGCGTCCATGTATTATTCACTATGTAAAGAAAATTTGCACGAAAGACGTTGGTAAAAATCCTTAACGACGCATTATACTAAGGTGTACTTACCTTTGCAACACTTCCAGAAGCGATGTGTTTCCGTCCATGTGATTATTTCGTGCGTACAGTATGGTATCTCCTATAACTCTAATCAAACAGTGAAAAAAAAAGGAGATTCAAATCTGCACTTAAACACGAAGGCGCGCTATAAAAAGAGAGGTGCCTTAGGTGCCTCTGGACCATTTGTCAATCAACCGTCGTGTGATGTAGAACTCTAAGAATCAAGTCAGCTTCTGCTATAGCTAATCCAAAGCCGGTGAACAGCAGGCGCATTCCTCAAAATTGTTTTATGTTTTCATCACAATACAAGAATTTTTTGAGATTTGTATTTCCTTTCTCCAATGGAGACTGTCTTTATTTGTGGCGGTAAATTTGAAATCGAAGTAGGCGGTTCGCACGTTACATCATTGCCACCATGCTGGTGGAAGTAAACATCTCATTAGCTCCTTTTGTTCGTCTACCAGGCACCTAAGGGACCTCTCCTTTTATAGCGCGACTTCGTGTTTAAATGGAAAATTCTCCATCTATATGGACTAATCTTACGTGCAAAGAAGGAAGAGCATTATATGAACTGTAGCTAGGTACAGCAAAGAGGTGAGAAGATTTTATACCTCGTTTGACTAAACTCTCCAAGCTGTTCGATGTACGAGAGATCAATATCTTCGTTACCAAACTGAACCTGAAAACCAAACTGCGTCTTTCCCTTTACTTTGACCTGAAAATGAAATTATCATAACAATCACCTCAAAAAGGCTTGGAGGAACAGAGCAAGATTAACAACCAATAACAAGTTTTCTTGCCCGTCGATACCAGAAAGCCAGTTTGAATTGTTAATTTAGGGTTTGAACGCATCATTATGGAAAAAAAAAAAACTTCAAGGCTGATTCTAAACCACTAAATCCGTCCATTTTCGAGACTTAAGATTAAGGGTCAAACTACAAGCTCGGAGCAAGAGAGCGGTTTATTGGGTGTGACCCGAAATACAAAATTCTCAAAAAATGGGAGGACTTTCACAAGGAAACTCACGTAGATTCTGCTACCTTAAAAAATTCACCTCCTGGCAATGCAGCACTTCTTTTTAAATAATTCAAAATTATGTGAACTATGATATTGTACAAGAAAGGTTTTTTTTACAAACCTTCTCTCTGTCGCCGATTGTGGCGTCAAAACTATTCGCTATGGGAATCCGAGGTGTAGGCATAACGAACGGAATGCAAGGCTGAGGATTGCTCTCCCTGTGCTCCAAAGCAATGGCCTAAAAAACGACAACGAAATAAAAGGTGAAAAGGCTTTGTTTGTAAAAATAAGGGAAACATACTACTTGACTGAAGACTGGGTAAGAACGAAACTGGTGACAACATGCACCTGGTGAATAATAATTGAAAAAGGTAGAGAGGGCGGGAAAACGGTCCGCAATAGGAAACTAGCGAAATTGTGATATTCGCGAAAGGTGCAATAAGAAGGTTACTTCGGTGAAAAAAGCGCGGGGAAACCGTGACTTTAGTGAAGAGCGCGGGAAAAGTGACTGCTACCCATGTATACATTGTTTCGTGGTTCTTGGCACACATTTTGGGCTTGCCACTTGTTTCAGTGTTTCCTGCAGGTTTTTAGAGCTGATTCAATGTTTTCTTTGCATTCTTTGCTCTCGCGTTCAGCCTCAGAGTTTTTTGTTTAGCACTTTCATATGCCTCTATCAAATCTGCGAACTGACCTTTGCTTGATCTGTGACGTCACGCGAAGAGTAACAGTCCATCATGATCACATGATCAGCAACCTGCAGTACAAAAGGAGTACAAAGAGAAAAAAACTGAATACATTTAAATTAACTTTGTGATTTGAAGAAGTACCTCTGTCGCACGAGGTCTATCAAGCCAAATAAATTTGGTTCTTATTTGCAATGTTCAAATTATCGAAGTTGTAAACTGAGGAAATGACAAATGGTAAGACGTTGCTCCTTCATTGTACATGGCAGTTATCAATTGAAAGTCGAAAAAAGCCAAGATCAAAGTAATCCCAGCGACCAATTAGAAAAAAGTTTACATTATCATTAGCCAATGAGAACTCATAATGTAAACAAGCAACTCCTTGAAGCGCGGGAAAACGAGGACGACCCAGTCGCGTTTGATTTTAGTTTTGGATCTGATTGGTTGAGAGAATGACGCGAGTTTTGTGAACCAATCACTGAACAAAACTTTACATTATCATTAGCCAATGAGAACTCAAAGTGTAACCAAGCAAACTGCTTAAAGCAGACGATTAAGTCGCAATTGATTTTATTTTTGTATTTGAATGGTTGAGACGACAGTGCGAGACAAAAATTAAGTAAAACCAAAGCAATCCCGAGTTACTTTCGACTCTCAGTTGAGGATTGCTTTATCAATTATGCTGTTTACCTGAAAATAATCTCCCGAGCCTCCGATAACGAGAATCGACGAGACCCCAAAATCGTCATACAAGCTCCGAACCTGCGAGCAGATACATGATCATGAAAATGTTGAATATTTTAGACGTAAATTTTACACGATAAGTTAATAACTGAGTGCTCCTTGGAACAAGCTCATATTTCCTAGACCATATCTCCCTGGCCTGCATACGAACGTCTTGTATACCCTTTGCCTTTGCCTTCGTTGTCATCAAAAGTCAACGTGGGCCTTGTTCTTTCTTGAACAAAACTTCTAGTGCTTTATCCCCGCGCGTAATTATTATAATAATAATAATAATAATAATAATAATAATAATAACAATAATAATAATAATAATAATAATAATAACAATAATAACACCTTTATTTAGACACGATAATGTTTAAAGCTGAACTGCTTGTGGGGTCGCGTGTAAATCCACATAAATTCTAAATTAAATAAATTCAAATGATGATGGTTTTTGAGGAGAGGGGAAAACCGGAGTACCAGCCGAAAAACCTCTCGGAGCTGAGTAGAGAACCAACAAACTCAATCCACTTATGACGCCGGGTCCGGGAATCGAACCCGGGACACATTGGTGGAAGGCGAGCGCTCTCACCACTACGCCAACCCTGCTCCCTTTTCCATGCGTACTTTCGATTTTGCACTCAAACAAAGTCAACTACTCACCTTCGATATAAAAGGCGTGATTGGTTCCTTTTCAGCAGCAACCAGCTTCTGCATGCGGGCATCTCGAATCATAAAGTTCGTTGCGCTCGTATCCTGGGTAAGGAAAAGTAAACTTTGAATCGCATTTCCCTTGAGTGTTGAAAAATCAAAAACCACATAAGCATAAGAAAGGAATCACATAAGCGTTGTGTTGAAAGTTTGGAAAGATGTCAGATTTACAGCACCTCTTTTGCACAATACTTCAAGAACATATCAACATTTTCCTACCAAAATTCGTATCGCGTTTGGAAATCGTAGCATGGTTGACTTGAAAGCCCTTCTCTTTCCTTACAAGACTGAAGTGTCCACTTCTTTCCAGAACGCGATCCTTCTGCAAATTTGCTTTTCATTTTGAGCACCTAAAAGTCTATCTCAGTCGGGATGTGACGGAAAAACCACCCTGATCTTTGCCGTCAGTCATTTGTTTGCTGACGTCGGAAGGGTGCACAATGACGTGTACAAAAGAAAGATGAAGCACGCACACGCAATTGAATTTAATTACACGAATGTTGCTAGCCATGTTGTAGAATCATTTTGGGATGAACTTAAGATCTCTTCGACAGATACCGCCGTGCAACCGCTAATGAAACCAACTACTCGTGGATATCAACTCACGAAATATTTACCTCATCAATAAGCAAGCACTTGGTCCCAGTTTCCAAAGCCTCAACAATATTTGCAGCTTGTGAAGTCGAACCACTGGCGTCCTGGGTACAAAACCTGCTTGTGTCTCGACCAAAAGGCAAGTTGTTTATAAATGGCCGAATGTCTACTTTCTCTATACTTCTGCCTACACGTAATAATAATAAAAAGAAAAAAGTTCTTAGGTTCACAGTGCAGCGTGCTTCAAAACAAGGGCAAAAGATAACAAACCTCGGAAAGCTAAACGAAACCTAACGAAAGAAAAGACAAAGAAATACAAATATAAAGCATGATACGCAAAATATTTAAAACACGTAAAACAAATCACTTCTTACCATCCTCCGCCCGTATTGTGACTGCTGTAGGATCAGTGCAGACAAACTCCCGTCCGTCCCCTGGGATATGATTATACACTCCAAACTGGATAGCACTGAGCAGTGTGGACTTGCCGTGAAAACCACCGCCCACAATAAGAGAGACACCTTTAGGGATACCCATGCCTGCTACCCTATGAAACGAATTATCATATGGTAAGGCAGTGAGAATCGAAAATAAGACTGCATCTTTTTTTTTCTTTTTTCTCACTCCGGTTTGTGATTGTTTCAAAGAAATCGTGCAGCACACGTAACTAATATTAGCCAATCCAAGCTTCTTGCGATGTTTTCTTTTCCCTAATTAGAGTTTTATCAACTGCGTTGATAAAGTACATCGGCCACCGGAAAGAGTTTTACAAGCTGACGTTTCGAGCGTTAGCCCTTCGTCAGAGCGAAGGGAGTTTTAGAA